CCCCACACGCCGACCGCCCCACACACGATCACCCCACACGCCGACCGCCCCACCCACTGATCACCCGGTGCAGGGTTGGCGCCTCTTGTGGGAGGTGCGGACAGCATGTGGTCAGGTACGATTTTGTCACTGAGAGGCAGCAGGATAAGGTGTAGATTGTTCTGGGAGAAAGACCCCAGGGGCCCCCTGGGGGTCCGTGGGCTCAGCCTCCATCCTGGGCAGCGTGTGGAGCTCTGCGCAGAAGTGTCAGCCTCTTCCGGGCAGGACAGCTGCTGCTTGGTTGGATTGCCCTGATCCCTAAGCTGGGTTTTAATGCTTCTTCTTTGTAGTGTCTGTGTCGTTTGTGTGAGAATTATATGGCTTACACACACACACAAAAAGGCAAGCAGTAAGGAAAGAGCAGAGGATAGAGTAAAATTCATCAGCAATCCCGCACCTAGAAGAAAAAGCAGCGATGACATTTAGGTGGCCGCCCACCCAGTCCCTCTGAGCACGTATGCCCACACATGCATATAAGTTTCCTAAATGGAATCCTACTCTGTAGCAGTGTTGTAAGCTCGGTTTTCACTCAACAGTATGTCATGGCCCCTTTCCATGTCAGCGAAGATCTATGCCGCGTCTTTTTAAAGTCATATTGTATTCTACGAGTTCGTTAATGAAGGGCGTGTAAGTTATTTCTGATTTTTCACTATTCTAAACAGCACTGCAATCACTGGGTGTGCAGTTGTTTAGACTTGACGGATAGTCACCTCAGGATGATAGGGTTCTCGGGACAGCAGTGCGCGCACAGTTGGCATTCTGCCTTCCCAAAGGCTGTCCTGGTTCGCACCAGTGCCACGGCCACAAGATGGAGCCCCCCTGCACCCCACCCCTGCAGCACCACATTTGCCTTGCATTCCGGTAGAGGTGAGCCGTGAGCGGTGACAGAGCGGTGCTTTGTTTGCCTTTGTTTGACTCCTAATGAAATTGAAGATCTTTCCGTATTTATGGATCATAAATGACCTGACCTTTGTCCGTGTTTGTATTTTGTGGATTTTTTTGGTTAGGTTTGTACGAGCTCTCTGTTAGTCATAACACACGGTCGCATGCGTTGCAGAATATATTTCCCACTATGTCATTAGTATTTCCACTTTGTGTATTGTATGTGTTTCCATGTTGATGTTTAAATTTGTAGGTATCAGATTAATAGGTCCATTCCTTTGTGCTGTTTGCTTTCATGCATCCTTAGACATGTTTCAAGAGGAAAATCATACTCACTCCAGTTTTCTTCTTAGTACTTTTTTGGAGTTTTTTTCTACTTAAAGAGTTTATTTTTTATCTATATAGAATTTTTTTTTTAATTGTAGTCTAAAGTTATTTTGGGGTCAGGAGATAGGTTGGGATGGAGAGTGGTTGTGCTTTTGTTCTCCAAGTTGTCTCCACCCCTTTCACGGACAAAGGCATCCCTTTCCCACCGGCTGGAAGGGCTGCGTCTGTTCGATAGTCTCTGAGCCGTGGCGCGGCCTGGTTGCTGGCTGGGCCGCACATGGGTTCATGTTCCTCCTAGACTATAGGATCACGGGAAACACGGTGTTGTGCTACTGCTGTGGCCTGCGCAGCTTCCGGGAGCTGGCCTACCAGTATCGGCAGAACATTCCTGCTTCTGAACTGCCAGGTAAGGAGACCCCTAACTACCTCAGTTGGGATTGGCTTCTGTGTGCTGTGTGACACAGTCCACCAGGCTTCACTTTGTGGGCCTCGCAGGAAGGGGTAGCCGGCTGGGGAGCAAACGTGCTGGACTTGAGGGCAGACAGCTGAGGTGAGGGCTTCCTCGCTGTAGGCAGTGGTCACCTGGTGTTTGCGAAGGGACAGGCTCTGTTTGCTGATAAGGATCAAAGCAGTGTGGCTTTTCAAAACTAAGATACGTGGCGACATCCTTCGGGCATCTGGAATAATTTCATTTTCTAAATCGGGTTTTTAGTTAATAAATTGCTTTCCGTTCCCAAAATTTTGCACAGTCTAAGGAAATTACAAATGGTCCCGTGACTTACGATGGGGTTCCATTCCAATGACACCATCGTGAGTTGGTTCTGACGTAACTTGAATACCTCATTTTTTTTTTTTAGTTTTCATTATTGTTGCCTTTTACTGTCACTGTCTTTATCAATCTGCTCTTTGTCTTTGGGGGTTGGAAACATTATATGTAAGCTTACACACGTTTTCTAATGTGTATGTACATAAAAAAATACACAAGCCATAGAAATTTACTCCAACAATGAAGAAGAGTTGGACAACATTGGCATTTTGTCAGTTGTGGTAATAACTCCACTTGTGGAAGGTTCTGGATCATCTGGATTGTCGTTGGAAATGGAGATGGTGTTTCTAGTCAGAAAATTAGTGAGACTTTTCTGTATGGTCCTTGTCTTTTTTTTCTTCATCTATTTCACGGCAGCGTATCACTGCTTCCCAAATCTGCCTGCCTACTTTAGCAAAGTGATGAGCGTTTGGGTCCGTGTTCTTAAGCAACTGAAGCCCATGATTTAGTTCAGAAAAAACGCCAACTAATCCTTCCGCTGAAAATTTTTTTGACTTTTCCCCTTCCTCTTCCTCATTCTTTCTTTCTTCTTCAGCCTTTCTTTCTCTTCAACATCCATTAAGTTTTGATCTGTCAGTTCCCCGTTTGTGATCTCTGAGCTGTTCCAGATTGGCAGTATCAGGTTCTAAATTCAGATTCTTGCCATGTGGACAATTTTTCCACCCATCTCTTCCATCATATTACCTGCTCAAATGCTTGGAGCGTGTTCACATAACTCAGCGGTTTTTTCCATATATCTGCATGCATTTTCCGGTAACTTCCTCCCAGGGAGATGCTATATTCCAGATACACTGACAGTCGTTTTAAGTGTGGCTTGTCGTAACTAGAGTATGTTTTAAGTGGGGGACTACCTGTAATTAAAAAGGGTAACAGAACACTGTGCGTTTTGACTGCAGTTTCTCAGTGAGACTCTACTCAAATTTAATCAGCTGAACTTGTGTGTGATTGTATATCATTTCTTTTGTTTTTTCCCTTTTAGTGGCTGTAACATCCCGTCCTGATTGCTATTGGGGTCGGAACTGCCGAACTCAGGTGAAAGCGCACCATGCCATGTGAGTGAGGGGGCGTGGGCCAGGGATAGGGTGCAGCCGCTGGGGGTGGGGGGCAGCTGTAGCAGGTGGGGCGCAGCTGTAGGGGCTTGGGGGGCAGCCGCAGGCCTCGACGCCAGAAAGGCAAGCTCCTTTTTTTCTTTTTAATCGTTGCACTTTAAGTGAAAGTTTACAATTCAAATTAGTCTCTCATACAAAAATTTTTACATACATTGATTTGTGACCCTAGTTGCTCTCCCTATACTGTGACAGCACACTCTTCCTTTCCCCCCTGGATTTCCCATGTCCACGCACCCAGCTCCTGACCGTCTCTGCCTTCTCATCTCACCTCCGGACAGGAGCTGCCCATATAGTCTCATGTATCTACTAGAGCTAAGAAGCACACTCTTCACGAGTATCACTTTATGTCCCACAGTCCAGTCCAATCTTTGAAGAGTTGGCCTCGGGAATGGTTTTAGTTTTGGGCTAACAGAGTCCGTGGGCCATGTCTTCCAGGGTCCCTCCAGTCTCAGTCAGACCATTAAGTCTGGTCTTCTTACTAGAATTTGAGTTGTGCACCCCACCTTTCTCCTGCTCCATCAGGGACTCTGCTGTGTTCCCTGTCAGGGCGGTCGTTGGTGGTAGCCAGGCACCATCTAGTTCTTCTGGTCTCAGGCTGATGAAGTCTCTGGTTTACGTGGCCCTTTCTGCCTCTTGGGCTGATATGTTCCTTGTGTCTTTGGTGTTTTTCATTCTCCTTTGCTCCGGGTGGGTTGGGACCAATTGATACATCTTAGATGGCCGCTCGCTAGCTTTTAAGACCCCAGACGCCACTCACCAAAGTAGGATGCAGAACATTTTCTTAATAAACTTTGTTAAGGGTAAGCTCATTTACCCGATGGTTTTTTTTGTAAGCATTTTGGCCAACCTGATACAGGGATATAGAACTTTTATCCTGTAGCTTTTAGGGGGATATACGTGAAACACTCTATTCATGAATATATTAATTTAGTCTTTATACTTCTATAAAGTCACACATTTGTGAAATTTACAAACACTGCTGTTCTCTGTTATCTGGTGCTGTGAAGTGCTTGCATGCAGTCGCTCACCAGCATCTTCCACGCCACACCTGCTCTCGGGTCACGTTCAGTCCTCTGACGGACTCTGAGGACCACCTCCTTCCCACCTGGCGTATTTGAGACGCAGCAGGTGCAAATTGCATTGTGGTCACTGAGCGCTTCCAGTGAAGCCACAGGACTCGGTAACGTCAAGACTGTTGGCTGTTCTTTCACCCCATGAGCGGGTGATGGTGGTTACTGCAGTGTAATCCCTCCTATTGTTCTTCAGGGTGGTCCTTCAGAGGTTTGTTCGTGACCTTGTCTCATTGGAACCAAAGGGCCTTGTGTCCTGAAATAAGTTGCTCACACCCGTTTTTAAATCGTTAGTGAGGCCATTACCCTAAATCTCCAAAACTCCCGTGAATTGATGTTGTTTCAGACTAATATGTCCTCCCCAAACAGCAGCTTGTGGTTTGAAATAGAGTGACGTGTGAGCCATGGTGAGGATGCAAGTGGACAGCAACTCCCTCTGAGGAAGAATCTCGTGGAGGAAAGCTTGCTTTGTATTTGAGCGTAAGCAGCACGTGGGAGGGACCATTTTGTTGTAAGAAAAGATTTCATTAGTAACTGGCTAGCCTTAGTGACATGATGATTCAGGGATGACGGCGTCCGAGTTTCTTCCCACGTGGACTGCACCCATTTCTGCGTAGTTCACAGAGCAAGGTGCAACCACCCCACCCAGCATCGTGTGCCCTCACAGTGACTGGGGGCTCTCCCACTGGCCTCAGCTTGCCAACTGCCTTCTCCAGGAAAATTATTTAAAACGTGTTGACTTGTATTTCAAAACTGAAGAGAGGAAAAAGAAGGCTACCTTTGGGAATGAGTTTCTTTGAATGTTGAATGTTGTGAGTCCACACACACAATATATATTTCTTCTGTAGTTCTTCCATTACGCTTTCAAAATTTCATTTGTTTGAATAATTATACAATGCCTTTTGTGTAATTTGACCATTTTCTCCCTGCAGGAAATTCAATCATATTTGTGAACAAACACGGTTCAAGAACTGAATGTCAGGTGAAGCACCGAAATGACTGGAGAGCTGAAGGTTAAGTGACAGACGGTTTTCAAAGGCTTAGCTCCAAACGCAAGCATCCTAAGGGCATTTTCTGGTTCCCTTCTCAGGGGAAGTGGGGTCTCGGCCTCAGGGGCTCTGGTGTGACTCTCTCACTTTGTGGAGCTTTACCCTCGAGTGAGACCTTTTCAAGCGGAAGGTCCAGCCGGCCCTCAGCCGTCTTCCCAGCTGGGTGCTCGTCCCCAGTGCACTGTCCCAGAGCCACAGCCTATACCCAGGAGGAGTCCCTGCTCTCCCTCAGCGTCCTGGGGCAGCCAGAGCCTGGAGCCTGAGAGCCTCCCATCGGAAAACCGTTCCCTCTGTGCAGATGACAATAGTGAGCTTTGCTGTTTTTACCTTCTCCACAACTACGCCTACAATGAAATCTCGTCAAGAAAAGTTTCATAGGAGAAAAGGAAGTTTATCAGACAGCTTTGTTGTTTAGGGAAAAAGGGGCACAAGTTTACAACCTGTCAGGTGTACAGAACATGCTGCTGTGGGGAAAACCACAGTGTTTTATATATTGTTTATTTTAATAGGTTTGGTGCTTATCTTCTAATAAGATTTAAATATCACAAAAGTAGCACAAATAATATAATTTATAATTTTCAAATCAATGAAATTTGGAATAGTGTTTGAAAGAATAAATGTATGTTTCTGTTTCTTAAAAAAAAAGACCATCGGATGTCCAAAACTGCTGAACTTCGAGCTTCCAGCCTTAAGTCAGTGGCTGTCCTCCTCAGGACTGTGCAAGGCCGTTACCCGGACATCTCAGCGTGGTTCTCGTGGGGCTGTTGGTGAAGGCAGTGAGCATGCGGCCGGGCACGGGCAGCTGCTGGCGCGCTCGGCATCAGGGATCTCCCAGGCCGACCGTGACCGATCCGAGCTCCTCTCCTCACATTCTCTGCTGTAGCCAGAAAGCCCTTCCTTGCTAATGTCACTCTTCTGCCCCTCCCTGCGTCCCTTGGCCCACTGAGGCCACAGGTTGTGGGGTGGTGGTGAGTGGAAGCTGGGTGCTGTGAGGGTGCAGGACAGCTTCCCAGTGCCGGCTCGGGGCCCCCATAATGGCTTTGGCTGTGTGCTCTGGCCTCACTTCTGTCTGTCCTGCCAAGTTCCCAAGCCCACGGAGACAGCGCCTGGAGCCAGTTCTTGCCACGGGCATGGCCTTGGCCCCCTTCACACCTGCCCTTTCCTTCTCCGTCAGGACTGCCATCTCATCTGGAATAATACTTGAAATGTTTGTAAGAAAAAATTGCTTTTTACCTTTTGTTGAAATCACCTGTTACATTTGTTCGCAAACATAACTTTCTTGCTCCTTCTCAGGAATACAATTTGCACCTGTTGTCTTGCTCTTGCTACACGCTGAGAAGCCGCTCTGTTTGTCTGTGGGAAAGGCCTTTTTTTGCTTTCTAGTAGCCAGCTGTGTGGTTTCTCTCCCGTCACGCCTGGTTCACACCTGACCCAAGCCTGCAGTTCTGCCAGAAACAAAGCAGGCACGCTTAGCCCCAGAGGCCGCACTCATGTGTGACGAAGGGAATATCCTTCCTGGTGTCTGCTGACTAACGTGGGCTCCATCATCAGACTGACCCCACCCCAAGGCGCAGCCGTCACGCGTGGCGAATGGGACAGTGTGTCGGCCACACTTCAGGAGGGCCCACCAGCCGTGAGCGGCGGTGAGGCGGGGAGGGCAGCCCCTCAGCCACAGGTTTGGTCCTCCTGCCTCAGGAGGCATCCTGGTGTCACCGCCCTTGTCTGTGTCTCAGGTTGCCCTGCCACCTCATGACTGCCTCGGCCCTCCAGACACCCCCACCCCTTGGGGAACATGGTGTGAGGGGAATGTGCGGCACCCCCACCCCTTGGAGGACACGGTGTGAGGGGGACGTGCAGTGCTCGGGTTTGCTGGGTCAGCCCTTGGAGGGAAGGGGGCTCTGGCTCTGGCAGTGCACACTCTCCACCTTGGTTCTCCAGTGATCAAGGGTTCCAGTGGGACCGTGCCAGCAGACCTGTGGTGCCTCGTCCCAGCAAGCACTCGGGTCTCCAGGATAGACCCATGCCCTGGCCCTGAGCTGCAGAAGCAGGCCCGGTGGTGACTGGACAGTGACGGTGTCTGTGGGGTGGCCAGGTGTGGACTTCTGCAGTGTGTGCTGATTTTTTTGTACTTTCATCCCTCAACGCCCTCCCTCCCCGCAAAAAAGAACTTCCATGTGCTCACGAAGCCTGCTGTCTATGTCTCCCTTTCTGCTGTCCTGGCTGCACAGGTGTGGATCTTGGGTAACCACACGGGCTCCAAGCTGCTGCTCTGACTCCCAGGGCTGAACTCTGGACAGACTGGTGCTGGGTCTCCAGCTGCCCCTGGCCCCTCCCACATCCCCAGTGAGCAGCAGCTGCTAACAACTCTCTCCCATGGCCTCATCCCACCTTTCCCATTAGGTTCTGGGGCACTCTTTCCCCTCAAATCAGTGTGCACCTCCCAATTCACACTCAGAACTGCCCCTTCCTGGCCTGAAGGGGATTCTGGGCTCCCAGCAGGGGGGCCCTCCTGATCAGGCTCCATCCCCTGGAGGCAGGTTTGGCTGCAGTCTGTCATGGTTCACAACTTGTTAAGCAAACCCAAAACAAAACAAAGGAGCTGAGTAGTTGGGATCAGCCCTTCTACTGAGGACGACTCACAAAGGTGGTTGAAACAGGTTTTAAATATCCTGAATCCCTTGGAGCTAACAGGACCAGTTACTGGACACAGATCTGAGAGATGGGCCCAGTGGTGGAATCGGGCGCAGGAGGGGGCCTGGTCACACCCGCTTCTGTGGGCTCAACCCTGAAGGAGTGTGAACTGGAGCTGGACCAGCCTTTACACACCTGTAACCCTCACACCACCTGCAGCAGCACCTTGCTCAGAGAGCAGGTCCTGGAGCTGTGTCACCATAGCTCTCTCTGGAGGAGGAACACAAAAAGGGGACATTGCAGGTTTAGGAAGTCCAGAGCTGAACCCGAGGTCAAGCCGTGCCTGTCTCCATGCCTTCCCCTGTCGGCCCCACCGGTGGCGGAATGGCTGCCGGCCTCCCCCCCTCGGGTCTTATCTAGGCCGAAGATAGGTCAAGTGAGAGTGCTGGTCTGTCCCTGACCTGATCCCACACTGAGTGAGCTGTGCTTCAATGCACCATTCAGGGCCGCCTCCTGGAGCTCCGTCAGCCCTCGCGGGCAGACACAGAACGCCCCATAGACAGGAGAAGATGGGACTGTTGCCCAAGAAGGGTCACAGATTTTGCTGGCAGTAGCCACACGGCAGCAGGCTGAACCCTGCCAGAGTGGGACCTCACTGCCCTGGAGGCAAGAGGAGCAGTCAGACCGCACTGGCCGGCCAGGAGCACTGCCCTCTGGTTAGTGCTTCCCCTGGGAAATGTGATCCCATCTGTCCTTGCTGCACAGGCAAGCCCGTGGGGGGGCCTAGGAGGGAAGGCCATGTGGTGTAAGGGCTGCCTCCCTGACCAGCTGGTCCCTGCTGTTGGCATTGTTTTGGCAGCCCCCTACAGAATCCAGTCCACAGTCCTTGGTGAGCACGTGAGGGTTGTCACACCTGGTTCCCGTCACACTGTCAGCCCTATTTCCACCACTCGTTGGCTGGGGATGCCTCAGTCTCATTATCTGTGAAAAGGAAGCTCGAGGGTGTTGAGGGGATGTAGGCATTGATACATATCAAGGGCTTAGAGTGGCCTGCCACAGAGGGCTCTCAGTGAACATCAGCGGTCATTCTGCCTTCCAGCAGAAACTTCCAGCACTTCCTTAGGCATGCAACATGCTGTTTCATTTCTGTTTGGCAAGCGTGTGCATTTGCTTCTAATTTCTTTTCTTTCTGTCATCTCTTCACCTCACCAGCTGACAAACCAAAACCCCAGGAATCGTCATTTTCATTTTCTCATGCTTCAGTCCCTCATCTACCAGGAAGTCCTGTGACCACGCCCGTGTCTCCATCATCTCCAGCAGGCGACTTCCGTACCCCCTGACGGGGCTCCTGCTTCCATTCTGCTCTCGATCTGTCTCCACAAAGTGGCCCAGAAAGATCTTTAAAACCAAGTCAGGTGTGTGCTTCCTTCACATGCAGTGATCAGGAAACCCTAGCCCCTGTGTTACCACGGTAGGTGGTCCCATCGCGGCCTCGATGCTGCCTTCCAGTTCTCAGGCCCTCAGACGTGCTCTACCACGCTGGCTCCGCGCTGGGTCATTTCTTGCTTCGGCCTGCCAGCCAGCAGCAAGCATGATGCGAGCAGGACGGCAGTGCTCGTTCCTCAGAGCACGCTAGGGCTTCACGGAGAAGCGGCTCCTGAGGATGAAGTGTCACTGCGAGAGGCCCGGTCCTCCTGCCCAGCCAGATCCGCGGGCTGACACAGGCCGTCCGTGAGCCCAGGTGAACGGCAGGGGCGCCAGCCTCACCAGCTCCCATGAGCTATCAGTCATGTTTTCAGGGATTTTGCAAACCAGTTAAACACAGCCGTTATTAAATCATAGGAAGTTAGAATGAAGTAAAGTACATTAAAAAGAAATGTAGCAAGTACTCAAGACTCATCACATCCTAGTTAATTTACCACATTTGGCTTCAATCTAAACTCTTGCGGGTGTTCAGGTTGATGCATCTGAACTGCGGAAGTTTGTAGGATGGCGTGCACTATCAGAGGTCACTTCTAAGCCTCTTATTTTCCAACTGCAGAAAAGCTGGAAAACAATACAATGAACACCCACAAGCCGTTCACCTAGAGTAACCAATTGTTTGCTTTTTCACAGTTGCTTTATTTCCATACATATTATTCTGCTGAGCTACAGAGAGAAAATCATTATCCATCAATACCTCAGTCTGTATCTCCTAAGAAAAAGATATTCTCTTACATAACCAGTATAATTACCAAATTCAGGAAATTAAACATCGGGGCATTGCTATTACCTAATACACAGTTCCAATCTAATTGCACCAATTATCTCATCAATGTCCTTGAAAGACCACTTTGTTTTCCAATCCAAAATATGCCTTGTATTTAGCTGTCATTTCTTTTTAGTCTACTTTAGCCTTGCATATTCCTTAGCCTTTGTGTCTCATGAAATGTGGTGAAAAGGCCAGATGTATATGGTTTTGTCTGCTGTTTACTTGTGATCAGGTTTAAGTTATGCGTTTTTGGCATAAGCTCAGCCCATCAGGAGGCACCTGAAGTCAGCACATCCCATTGTTGGTGACGTTTAGTTAAGGTGGTATCTGCCAGTTTTCTCCACTGTAGATGTAACTTCTTTCTCCTTTATATGTAGGAATCTGGGGGCGATGCTTTGACACTGTAATATCCTGTCTTCTAATAAACTTTTATCCAATCAGCATCTATTGTTGATTCTTGCCCAGACCTGTTGTTACTATACTGTTTAAAATAGTGGTTTTCCCAGTCTATCTCCTTCCTTCTAAATTTATGGACTGTCATTTACTGACAGAAAGAGCTTTATGTCCACCCCCCTGCCTGTGTTTGCTTGTTTTTAGTACCCATTTGGACTCATGGGTTCTTTTTTTAATCAATGCATTACAATAAATAATTGCCATAATAAATTTTGATGCTCAGATGGACTCAGATTTGGCCAGTGCGAGCCCCTCGATCTAACGTTGAAGTCTTTTTTTTTAAACAGATTTATTGAGATGTAATCCATTTACTATAAAGTTCATCCTTTTAAAATGTACAATTCAGTATCGTTGGTATTTCACAGAGTTGTGTGTCAACTAGGCCTTTGTGTGGACACAAGTTTCATTTCTGTGGGACAAGTGTCCAGGAATGCATTTGCTGGGTCATATGGTTACACGTATGTGTAATTTTTTCATGACACTGCCGAACTATTTTCCAGAGAGGCTGCACTAGTTTACATCTCCCTAGCAAAGTTTGAGAGATCAAGTTTCTCCACATCCTTGCCAGCACTTGGTATTTTAACTTCTTTTTTTTTTTACTTTAGCTGTTCTAATAGGTGTGTAGGAGCCCTGGTGGCACAGTGGTTAAGCACTTGGCTGCTAAACCAAAAGAACATCAGTTGGAACTCATCAGCCGCTCTGCGGGAGAAGTGGCAGCCTTGGAAACCCTGTGGGGTAGTTCTACTCTGTCCTGTAGGGTTGCTATGAGTCGGAATCTTCTTGATGGCAACCGGTTTGGTTTTGGTGGTTTAACAGGTGGGTACTAATACTCAAGCGTGGTCTTAATTTGCATTTCCCTAATGGCTAGTGATGTCGAACATCTTTCACAAGCCTATTGTCATCTGTATGTCCTTTTTGGTGAAATGTGTCTTTTGGCTGTTTTCTTTTTTTGTTTGTTTTACTGTTGACTTTTGCAACTACTTTATATATTCTAGATACTTGTCGTCTGTCAGATATGTAGGGAGCACTGGTGGCGCCTTGGCTGCTAGCTGAAAGGTCGGAGGTTTGAACCTACCCAGCTGCTCCACGGGAGAAAAGATGTGGCAGTCTGCTCCGGTAAAGATTTACAGCCTTGGAAACCCTACGGGGCACTTCTACTCTGTCCTATAGAGCCACCATGAGTCGGAACGACTCCACGCCAATGGGTTTGTTTTTTTTGGTCAGATATATGGTTTGCAATTTTTTTCTCACAACCTGTAGCCTGTCTTCTCACCCTCTTAACAGGGTCTTTCTCAGAAGAAAAGTTTTTCATTTTGATAGTCCCATTGACGGATTTTTCTCTTCACCAAACCCTAGGTCCCCAAAATTATCTGTTTTCTTCTAAAAGTCTTATAGTTTTACATTTAAGTCCGTGATAATTTTCGGTTAATTTCTGCATTTGCAGATGACATGATTATCTGCATAGAAAATACCAAGGAACCTAGAAAAAAACAAAAACAAAACCTTCGAGAACTAGCAATAAGTGAGGGGAACAAGGTTTCAGGACACAAGAGCTTGTGATTTTAATTACAGAAATTTCAATCACATTTCTGAATGCTAGCAATGAACATGTGGAAACCAAACTTAAAAACAACGCCATTTACAATTGCCCCAAACAATGTGTACCTGTCCCGCGCCGTCGGCTTACGAGTCACGCCCATAACGGGGCGGGGCGATGGATACCACGCCCACAAGTGACAGCACGGGAGGGGCGCGGGCGGGGACCGGGCGCCTTGGCCACGGCACTTCCTCCGGAAGCTCAGTTGTCCAGCTTCCTGTTGGGGTCGATACCTGCAAGTCCGGAAGTTGGGTTTGTCCGAGGGAAAGGGCCGTAGACTCTGAGATTCTTTCTGGATTCCTCCTGTCCTGGGTGGGCCCAATATCGACCCTGTGGCCTTGGCGTCCCCAGCCCGACTGGCTAGCAGAAGAGCACATTCTCGCTCCCGGAACGGAGGCAGCGCTCCCAGCCTGTTCCCGGGGGCCCTGCGGCCGTTGCACCGCCGCGGCCCGCCCCTCGTCCGGCCACGTCTCCGCTGGAGCCGCCCTGCCGGGGCCGCAGCGCCAGGGTGAGGGTCCAGACGGGCCTCCGGGGAGGCTGGGGTTGGGGTCCGAGCGGCCAGGCGGCGGACAGGGCAGGGCCGGCGCGCCTGCTCCCTGCGGCGGCTCGGGCGGCGGGTGAGTCACGGCTTCTCACTGCCCGTGGCCCCGCGGCCTGGGCGCCGCTCCGCAGCTGTCAGCAGAGCTGACCTCACACCCTCTGGGTTGCTGATCTTCGCACAGTTGGATGTAGTTCGCTGCAAAGGTGGCTCCTGCCTTGTAGGTCCTTAGCAGCAGTCGTAGCGATGCATGTATTACGAATTTTGTCCGTTTGCAGAAGTTCTGATAAGTTAATGAGAATCTTGAGCCGGTGATTAGTGTGAGCGGGTTTTACACTATCCACGCACTTCCTTGTTTGCCTCTCTCCCTGGCAAACGTATCTTCTCGGCCCTAGGTGCTTAGAGGTGTCTCGCGGTTCAGGGTCACTTTCAGAGGAGTGGGCGACGCACGGTGGTCGCTGGTGTGAACCCGGCGAATAGTTTGACTCGCATGTGACAAATGCCTACTGAGCGCCAACTGTGACACGCAGTGGTCACTGTAGGTGCTGGGGATACAGTGGGGAAGTGTGTCAGGGCCCTGCTGTGACTCGGGGTCTAGTGGAGGAACATAGACCATAAATAAGAGTATTGATTGGTGACTGGGGCAAGGTCAGCTCATTTAGGTTGCGTGGGAAGGCCTAAGAGTGGAGGTGACTTTTGATCCAGTGCCTCTCTAACAAGAAGCTAGCCTTGCAAAATTGCGGGAGAACGGTTCAGGAGAATGAAAAGCAAGTATGAAGACCCCGAGGGCGGAGTAAGTTTGGTGTCCTCAGGTAGAAAAATGTGGCCAGGGTGTAGTAGGAAAGTGTAGGGGATAGGAGGCCTGGTGGCGCAGTGGTCAAGAGTTTGGCTGCTAACTGCTAACCAAAAGGCCGGCAGTTTGAATCCACCAGCCGTTCCTTGGAAACCCTATGGGGGCAGTTCTACTTTGTCCTATAGGGTTGCTGTGAGTTGGAATTGACCTGATGGCAGTGGGTTATAGAGGGTAGGATGCAGATGTAGGCAGGGCCAGGTCGTTTGAGGCTTTATAGTTTATAAGAAGAGGTTTGGATTTTATTGTCAGTGTAACTGACAGCCACAGGGACATTGTAAACCATTTACAGGTGACTAATGGATTTTTCATTTTAAATTGTGCCTTTAATGTTTCATATATAACCCTTTACTGGGATGATAGCTTTCAGTTATAGTCTGCCTTGAATGGCAAGAAAGGAAACAGATATTTTAACTTTGTCATCTGACATAACTTAGATTCAAAAATAGCTTATTTTTTTCTGGTTGCTTTAAGAAGCAGTGTACTTTCTCAAGTGAAAATATCTTTGGTTGACTTTTACCTATCAATTTTGACAAGCAACAATTGAAGGGAAAACAATAATAATTGCTACCATTTGTTGAGGGCATGGGTCAGACCGTGTGCCGTATTCCGTTTAATCCTAGTAATAATTTCGTGCTAATTCCCTCGTCGTGTTACTGATAAGGAATCAAGCTAAGAGTTGTTAAAGCAATCTACCTAAGATCTCCCATTTAAGCAGTGGAGGAGCCAGAATTTGAAGCAGAGGGGTCTGACGCGAGAGCCTGCCTTTGAAATCACTGTGCTGTGTAGTGGCAGGAGGCTTGTCGTGTTTTTGGTTTTCGCTTCGTATATAGATCTGTGTTTGCTTGTGATTGCTAGTTGTGGTCTTAAACAGACTTACCTTATGAAGGAAATCGTGTTTTACCTTTCGCTGGGCTCTGCTGTTTCTAATTGCCATAGGAACAACTGAAGGCAGAGTGGGGAGATGGAGCTGTCAGACTTCATGTAATCCAAAAAGGAGGGACACTGGGAGTCATGTGGTGCCAGAGGTACGGTCCTCAGTGTGGAGTCCTTGATGCGGGGAAGTCGGAATAAGAGGAATTAAGTGAATGGGACAGCCTGGTACATATGTCTCCTGTTAGGCTTGCCTGCCTCAGGGAACTAGAATTTCCTTGGCTAATGTTCTCCTCTCCTGGACAGTGCTAAGTGTAGGTGCTGTCACTGTTCCTCTGTAACTCCTCAGCTGCCCTCCTCTGGTTGGCATATTCTTTCTTTAATGGCATAAATAAGTCCGTCTAGTCCTGCTGGCTGTTCTGCTCTTCTTGCTCACTTAGGTGACGTTGCTTATCTGTGCTGCTCCCACTACATGCTGCTCTTCTGGTGTACGACTCCAGGGCATTCTTTTTCCCCCACTGGAACTATGGCTCTCAATTTTTTTTTTTTTTAATTGTGGTGAAAATATACATAATAAAGCAGACACCATCTCAAAAATTTTTACAATTCAGCGACATTGATTGTATTCTTGAAGTTCTGTAACCATTTTCACTAACCTTTTCCAAAATATTCTACTGCCATTAGCATAAACTCAGTGCCCCCAAGCAAGTAGTCCCCCTTCTCCCCTCCCTCCCACCCTTGGTAACCACTAATAATCTTTGGTTTCTGTATGTTAGCTTATTTCACATAAGTGAGATCGTAAACTATTTGTCCTTTTGTGACTGACATATTTCACTCAGCATAGTGTTTTCTCGGTTCGTCCACGTTGTGACATACATCAGGACTTCATTTCTCTTCAGGGCTGAGGAATATTCCACTGTGCGTGTATACACCACATTTTTATCCATCGTCTGTTGATGGACATTTTGGTTGTTTCCACCTTTTGGCTGTTGTGAAAAGTGCTGCAGTGAACATTGGGGTGCAGGTCTCTGTGGTCCTGCCTTCACTTCTGGATATACACCTAGGATTGGGGTTGCTGGATGACATGGTAGTTCTGTATCCAGCACTTTGAGGAATCGCCACACTGTTTTCCACAGAGGCTGCAGCATCTTACATTCCCAGCAGCAAGGAGTGAGGGTGCCAGTTTCTCCACAGCCTCGCCACCGTTTGTCTTTGTTTTATCGTTGTATCATTGCCGTTCTAATAGGGGCGAGGTGGTACCACATTGTACCTTCGATCTGCGTCTCTTTAATGGCTAATGGGAGCCCTAGTGGCACAGTGGTTAAGAGCTCGGCTGCTAACCAAAAAGTCAAAAGGTCAGCGGTTCGAATCCACCAGCTGCTCCTTGGAAACCCAACGGGGCAGTTCTCTGTCCTACAGGGTCGCTATGAGTTGGAATCTACTCGGCGGCACTGGTTTTGGTTTTTTTGGTTTTAATGGCTAATGACGTTGAGCATCTTTTCACGGGTTTGCCGGCCACTTGAATATCCCCTTTGGTGAAATGTCAGTTGAAGTCCTCTGCCCATGTTTTGATTGAGTTGTCTTTTTGTTGTTCCCAAGTGGTTTTAATGGGAACAGTTAGAGTTTTTATGTATTTAAAAAACCAAGGTTGATGCTTAGGAATGCAACTGTTTTATCATCTTGTTTTGGAACCATTATTTTGGTTGCTACGGGGCAGCACTTTGTGGAGCCAGAGATGTAATTCAGTTCTGGGTGGTGAGCACTACCGTGGGCTAAGGTGTGGGGAGGCAGGCTGGAGTGATTGCTTTGCTTCTGAGGACCTCCTAGTCTGGTGGAGTAGACACTCACACGCAGACATACACACCACGCACACACACATTCACACTCACACACCACAGACATATACACACCACATATACATACACACACATTCACACACACACAGTTATAGTATGGCATGCTAGGAGAAAGGGCGTGTGTAGGGATAGTGGTAGCCGAAAGGAGCAGACGAGGCCATTTACCTGAGGGTCCAGGACAGACTCTGGAGGCGGCAGCTCCTAGCAGAGGGTAGTTGTGGAAGGATGGCAGGAATTTGCCTGGTGGTCAGGAAGGAGGGCTTCTCAGCAGAGGGGTCGGCTTCTGCAGAGGCATAGGTGCAAGACAAGCATTCAGTCAATAAACACTGATCACTGTCATCTTTGTGCAAACAGGGCATTGAGTGTTGTGGGGAACACATCACTATCCGCTCCCCAGCAAGGCAGAAACATAGTTGTCAAAACCAAAGACGTTTCAAAGCAAAATTCAAGTGCTCCTTTGCGAAGGAATTTGTCAGGAAGACGGCTCTCTGACAGTCATGTGCGTGCAGCATGCGGTGCTCAGTGGCAGTCACTCCACAATCCACCAGTCTGCTCTGTAAGCCTCACATGTGATCTGCGCTCCTCGAGGGGCAAGGCCACGGGGAGGGGAGGGGCAACCCGGAGCACCTTGCTTTGCAGATGCTCCCAGGCAGTCGGGCAGCAGGACGGATGGAATCCTGGTGTGGCCGCCTGGCTCCCCACCCACTCTTCCGCCGTGTGTCCGGGATTGCAGCTGAGATGTTCCAGTTCCAGTTGTGTTTGTAGTCTGTGGGTGTTACGGAGATTTTCCATGAAGGCAGGACCTAGCGAAAGGTGATTTTATGTTGGATGTGCCAAGACACATGTGCTGTTTAAACCCCTCCTCCCAGGTGGAGGGACCCATTTAGCTACCCTCTGCCTTTCACTTCCAGGTGAAAGGTGTTACTGACGGGGTTGGTGCTGCATGTGGACATGGCAGAGGCAAAACAGAGTTGAGAAGTCTTGCTGCACATGAGATCAGTTTTTTGGGAAGCCTCAGCAACTACCTTCGTTTCTGTGATTTAGACGTGGTTTTCGTCTCAAGTATTTGCATGTGCCAGACCTCATGGGCCCTGGACTGACACTGGAATCCTTGTTAACGGTGCTTTCTTGATTAGCTGTAGTGGGTCTGTGGTCACTAACGTTCTCACACGGTTTGTGTCCACAGCACTGTTTAATTATATACCTTAGTGCCAGTGTTACACCTAACACCATGTATAACTGTGTTACATTCTTAACAGCACTGTCAGTAACTCATAGCATCTCTGGCCTGTGGGGTGCAAGGAAGCAGAGAGGGAGACATAATTAGTTATGAGCCACACACAGAGTCACACAGAGACTTACTCCTGGGATATGTCATGACTGCACAGGTGGTCTGGGCTGCACGCCACCAATGGGCCCCTTGTCAGGGAGATGGGGAGGACAGAGGCGTCCTGGAAAGCAGCCGTACTCTGTCCTGCTGCTGTGAGTGGGCACCAGCACCTCCATGGGAGGACAGCCTGTTCATGCTTCTTGCCTGTATTTCTATACAGAATTCACAGACTAGAGAAGAAAGTTAGGTAGTTTTTTTTTATCATGAAATGTGTTCAACACACAGTGGTACCTGGATAATATGAAACTTATTTTAAAGAAAATAAATGTCAACATTTTGCAGAAGGAATATTAGCTCATATGGTACCTTATCTGTTGGTGAGGAAGTGAGTCTGGACTTTATCAGTGCACCTCAAAGACGATAGATACCAGTTGCCAAACTTTGGGCAAAGCTTTGTGCCTTTAAACTTAGCCTAGAGGAGTGGGTTAAATGATGATGGTCTTGGCTGGACTAAGACATGAGAACTGGTCACCTGTCGTCCGCTTCCACCTTGGGCGTCCTTTCTGTGTGTTGTCAGCCCCTGCTCCCCATAGAGCACTCAGGGACCTCACCGGCGGCCTCGCCACTTTCGTTCTCCGTGTGCTCTTTAACCCTGACAGTGAAACTTCATAATGCACGCTTTCTCTTTCTCTCCGGCCAGGTAGCATGACATTAGCGGGTTGCACTTGAAGCCAGTTACGGGACTTTAAATCTGCTCCAAACCATGGAAAGCGTGGTGCTGTCCTTCAGGAGAGCTCTTAGCTACTGCTGATGGAGAGGAACCGGCCTTGCTAGCAGCTCACCTGCTGCCCTGTGTCACCCTGGGTCACCCCGTCTGGACACGTCACCATGGATGGTGCATCTGCCATGCCAGGTGGCCTCTTGGAATCCAGTGGTGGCACCTCAGCGGGACCCAGGGCCCTCCTGGAGTCCCCAGACTCTCCAGTGCGGACTGATGGGCGGGACACAGCCTGGGGTAAGTCATGAGTCGCTCTGTGTGCTGTTTACTTGCGCCTCCAGCAGGAGGGCTTGGGCAGCGTGTGTTTTGGGGAGGACTGATGTTTAAGAGGAGCCCTGGTGGTGCAGTGGTTAAGAGCTCAGGCTGCTAAACAGGTCAGTAGTTCAAATCCACCAGCCGCTCCTTGGAAACCCTATGGGGGCAGTTCTGTTTTGTCCTGTAGGGTCACTATGAGTCAGAATTGACTCGATGGCAACAGGTTTTGTTTGGTTTGGGATGTTTAAGACCATACGTGAACGCTTCATTTGTTAAAGGGTCTTTTTAGTGATCACGTGAGTGTTTCTTATTTGATGCTCACTCTGACCCTGCCACTGTTTGTGTTAAACGGAAGGGTGAAGCACGGCACTTCTAGGGGCGTGGGGGGTGACGGCACGGCGGTTCTGGTGGTATGGGGGTGACGGCACGGTTTAGAGACTCCCCTAGACCAGTAAGCCTGTCAGAACGTGACGTGAACCCAGTGAGCCTGTCTCTGCAAGGCCGCCTGCTGCGGAGCTGGAGAGTGGCCAGCCCTCAAAGGGCATCTGGCAGCCAGTTGTCGGTCTGGTCTCCTCGCAGCTTCCGCATCTCACTGGAGCACCCCTGTTTTATGCTTGTTTTATTTTTGGGGGCTCCAAGTAGCCTGAGAGTAAGTAGCTGTATTAGTTGGGATTCGTATTTGCAAATGACAGGAACTCAGCTAGAATCAGCCTGAGCAAAAGGGGCTTTCCTGGATGCGTACTGTACTCGCCAGGCTTGGCTGGGACTCCGGGCACCGCAGGCACCGAACCCGGAGCCCAGGACCCTCAGCTGCTGTCCTTCCCCCACACGTCATCTTGGTCCTTCGACCAAGCTCAGGGGCCCTTCCACCACGGTCGTGGGAAGCCTTGGAAGTGAGGGGGTGGGAAAGACTAAAAATAACTATAACAAGTCTTTCTTCCCGTGTCTCTTTTTGGTGAGGACTGTTTTGCTATAGTAAATAATCCCATTCGCGACAACATTAGCAGGCGGAACTAAGCTTAACACATGGACACAGCAGTCACTAGCTCTCCTTCGGTTTGTAGCTGACGGGCGGGGGGTTGTCAGGCAAGCCAGGAAGCACGCCAGAGTTCTGTGCTCAGCTTTGCTGATCCCTCTGATCCGCAGGATTCCGTCCTGCGCTGGGATTTCTCTCTGTGGAGGGTAGACTCATGCTTCGCAGGGACTTTGGAGTTGGTCCTGCATCACTGTGAGGCCGGCACTGGTCGGACACCACTGTTGCCAGTGTCCATCCAGAAGGCCATCGGCGTGCCCTCGGATCTTGTTTTCTTTTCCTGTTTGTATCTTAAACAGACTCTTGTAAGGTTTCTTATTTAAGTGAAAAGGGAATATGAGTATTTGACTCCTACAGCCGTAGGTGGGAGATGAGCCCGTTGTACAGGTGGGGACACTGCCCCCAGGGCAGCAGTGTGACTTGTCATGTCACCCCGCTGGGGGAAGAAGAACCAAGTGAGTGCATTTGTAAGATGTGAAAGTCGCTCGTGGTTACTGTTGAAACTCCTTTTTGTCCTACTTTAGCTGTATGTTTGAGAAGTGACTTGATTTTGTTGTTAAAACCATAATGCCCAGAGCTTCTTTCTTTTCCAGGTGCCAGTGGAAAAGCAAACCCAGTTCCAGGTGAAGGAGAAAGCCTGGAAGTGCTCAGCCAGGGGCATGGCTGTCAGAACGGGCCACTGCCACCCCCCGCAGGCCCTGCGCTGCCTCTCGATCTCACCCCTCACCCAGTGGGTGCTGACTCGGCTCCAGGTGTGGCTGGTTTCCATGACAACCTAAGGAAGTCTGAGGGCACTAGTGCTGAGGGCAGTGTTAGAAAAGAAGCTTTGCAGTCTCTCAAAATAAGTCTTCCTATGCAAGAAACGCAACTGTGTAAGCATCCGTTCTCCATCACGCCCTCCTTGTTCTCCCTCAAGCCTCTGCTTGCGTCTTCATCTTGTGGTCGGCCCCCTGGAGACAGAAGGGGAGTGTCTGTAGCCATGTGGCGGGGTGTGTCTGACAGGGTCTTGCCGTTGCAAAGAATGGACGCGTGCTTGGTGTGAAGCCCCCTTGTGGCCTGGTGCCTCTTCACCACCGTCACCGCAGGGCGGTCTACAGGTAGACAAAGGCTGGCTTGAAGAGACAGTTTGACAGTTGTCGTCTAAAAGCTTTGTTTTATGACTTGCTTTAATAAACACTGACCACATGCCAATCTCTGGGGTTTCAAAGACGAAGGGGGCTGCACACTGGTAGTTGTGAGCCTGGAAGCCCCCGGATCTTTCTTATTTGTTTGTCTGCCCCTCCAGGTCAGCCTTCATAGGCCTCGGCAAACATACTCAGGGTGTTTGGTCATTGTTTTTAAAATGGGATGATACTGTTCACACTGGTGTGTTTTTTTCTCACTCAGCACTGTTATGTGGAAATTCCTCTAAATTTATCTTCTGATGGCTGTGTGCATCCCCATTTTCTGTGCTGTCCTGCTCTCTGAGCTCCTGGCCGGTGGACAGTGCTGCAGTGACCACCGTGGTACACGTGTCCTGGGAGTCCCAGCTCTGACTGCTGGGCTGGGCTCCCAGAGGCAAGCGGCTGGGCTCCCGGAAGCGGGCGGCTGGTCAGAACCACGTGGTCGGTCCTGTTGCTCATCCTGTGCGGTGCTGGGCTGCTCCCCCCGTGCCCTCCGTCTTTCCAGTGTTTACCAGTCTGATGGCTGCAGTGTGATGTTTCATTGCTACTTTAGTTTGCACTTGACCATCACCAGTGAATTCGAGCATCTTTTTATCCTTGGCCATTTAGACGTTCTTGTCTGTGAATTGTCTATTCATGTCTTTGGCCCGTTTTTATTTTGAGTTGTTTGTCTTTTTCTTCACAAGCATTATTTTATTAGAGCTGCAGTGTGGTTTAGAAAATTGCTGGAAACTAGTTGCCAACATTTAGGTCTAGAGATTTCACACGAAAGTCTGGATTCCTTATCTGAACAGTGTGAGAGCTGTGGCCTCCGGTCCCCACGTAGCCACAGTCTGCTGGGATCTGCTGCCCCCTTTTGGCTGGTGTCACCTTCCTGCATGACTTTCTGTGGATCAGCTCCTGGCTATCACCGAGACTGTGTCTCTTGTGCCACTTGCTACAAGCTTGCAGTGTTGTTCAGTTTAAACCCAGCCCACTTCGCTTGCTTATGGCACCTGCCCGGGACCCTCAGGTTTGCTGCCCTGCTACTGTCTGGACAGAGTCAGCCTCACCAGAAGTGCAGATCTTTTCAGTGACAGAATAAATTCACAAGTTAATGATAACGGTGAATTCCTAGTTAAATTCCTGGTGACTGTTCCAACTGTAGGAGCTATTTAAAACAACCATCGCTCACCTCCTAAAATCCACATCTGAGGGCGGCGACATAGATGAAGCTGTTGTGTGACTACAGCGTGCCACAGGACCGTCTGCTGCTGCCACTGAAGGTGTTATAGCCAAGAACCAAAAACTAGGGGGAGAGCGACGTTCTGGTTTTGTAACCGTAATGCCTTTCCACTCACTATTTGACCCTTTTAGAACCCAAAATAAACGATTTGGGGAATATGTATTTTTAATTGTGTTATTGACTAAAGTGTTACGGTTTCCCCCCTGTCGCTGGGTGCAGTCCCTGGATTGGGTCTCGGCTGGTGGAACAGCTGCGGCTCTCGCAGGCTGATGCGGCCTCTGCCCTGTAGTGAGTCCCAAGTTGGTCACATGAAGCTGGGCTCTCCAGTAGCGTTATGCCTTAAACAGCTAGCTCGTTTAATACAATCTTACAAAGCCTAATTATAACATGGCTGTTACTGCAGGAATTTAGACAAAATATGGATCAGGTTATTTCCCAACCCGTAGCTGCACCAGGAAGTAGTGTGTGGTGCCACTTGACCAGTCGTTGGCATTGTCCCAGATCCTTATCAGCAGATGTCGTTGCTGCACTCCGCACGTTCCTCGCTATTCAGCTGTGAGCACCTCTCATTAAGTCGTGGTGCAGTGCTAGGCTCACTGAGGCCTGAGGACCTGTGCCACAGGGCATGCCCAGCCTTGGGAAAAGCTGTCCAGTGGGCTATGAATTCTGTTTGCTATGGAAGAGCATGTTTTAAACAACTTCTGTTTTACTAGCTGGACTTCTGTAGGCAGCAGTGTGCCGTGGATGAGCGCAGAATAGTACTGGGCCGCTGGGCCTCACAAGGGGGGGCCTGTCTGTGTCTGTGTGAGAGGCTGTTTCCTCGAATTGCCCTTCCACACTCCATGGCTGTGCTTCGTTTGGGAGCTAAAATGTTGGTGATTAAACGCAAAGTGACCCAGGTATCATTGCCAGTGTGTCTGTGCCTTGGCACATTATGCATTTTTAAATGACTTTCCATACTGCAGGCTCCACAGAGGCCTCGCCGCCCCTGGAGAGGGAGGAGCAGGTCCGCCTTCAAGCACGGAAGCGGCTGGAGGAGCAGCTCCGACAGTACCGGGCGAAGCGGCAGCAGGAGAGGGTGAGTCCCCCCAGGGTGTGAGGGAGCTTCATACGTGAGAGACAGCCATCAGTCAGACATGGTTACAGCATCTGTGTTAGCCTGGGTTTGGTGGGGTCTGTACAGATGTTAACTGTGCTTCTCTTTGCTTCTCTATAAATTTAAAGCGGTTCTAATTCAACAGGACTTTTTTTTTTTTTTTTTAAACTTTTTGTGTTTATCTGAAAGAATAAGCATGGGAGAATAGCCAGAAAAGTTTTGTAGAAGTTGTGTGATGAGAAAGGTGTTTTTTAAATGCTATAAAGCCACAGCAATGGGAGGCGTGTGAGTGAGAGCCGGCTCTAGGCTGGTCAGTGGGAAGTGACCTTGGAGCGGGGAGGTGACCAGGGCCAGAGGTGAGTGGTTGGAATAGAAACAGCCATTTGTGATGGCAATTTTAGAATGCTACTTGTCCATTCTAAACATGATGTTTGTACTTTTATTTCCTTCTTAGTCCAGCCAACCTGCAACTAAAACGAGACTTTCCAGCACACTTGATCCTGAGCTCATGCTCAACCCAGAGAACCTGCCGAGGGCCAGTGCCGTGGCCATGACAAAGGAGTACTCCTTCCTGCGCACCAGTGTTCCTCGCGGGCCAAAGGTGGGCAGCTTAGGGCTCCTGGCCCATCCCAAAGAGAAAAAAAGCCCCAAATCAAGCAGGATCCGGTCTCTGGCTGATTACAGAACTGAAGATCCAGACGCCGGGGACTCAGGCGGGGGTGCCCCAGCCACCGGCCCTTCTCAGGGCTCTGTGAAGCAGAGTAGGGGCAGCATGACATCCGTGGTATCTGGGGCCGGCCCAACCCCTGAAGCCGACACCCGCCTGGAGGATGCTTCCCTGGCTGGAGACAACGCCTCCGAGGCGGATGGCAGCGAGGCTGGGCTCAGGCTGGACGGGAATGACAGCGACAGCTCCTCCTACAGCAGTGCCTCCACCAGGGGGGTGCTGGGCACGCTGGCAGGCACGGCCAGCAGCCAGGGTGCATCCTATATGGTCAACGGCCAGGAGATCGCTGCCGACGCCTTGGGCCAGTTTCCTTCGATTAAGGATGTTCTCCAGGCTGCGGCGGCTGAGCATCAGGACCAGAGGCCAGAGGTCAACGGGGACATCCGGAGCCGCAGAGGCAGCCTGTCCAGCAGGTAGACGTGGACATGGTGCTGGGAACCCACAGCAGGAGGCGCCCGACACTGCATGCTCTCCTCTCAAGTCCCCTCCTATCTGCGTGACCCCCCCGGGTGGCCTGGCACGTCGTCCTCACCCATCCCCCTCTCAGTTGTCACCAGCAGCCCACGTTTCCTTCTCAGACAGCGCTGCTGCTTTGTTGGAAATAGATTTCAGAGTCTGCAGCACTGACCTCTGTCCTCCATAGTGCACAGACATTTCTGTGAAGTCGTGCAGATTCCTACTTGGCTCACGGTTCAGTGAGCATGTCCCAGTCTCATGGTGGCCAAAGGGCCTGACTCCTGGTGGGGGTTTTCGCTTGTGGCTTCTTCCGTGTTTTGCCTTAGCTCTCTGCTTCAGCCTTTTCACCTGTTTATCTAAAGCACTGGAGGCAGAGTGGCAGGG